TGCAAGTTTGAGAGGAATGACCAGAGGCTTGGCTTGGCTCATCACTGTGCTTTTTCCTCTTGTGAACAAGCTTGCCACAGGGTGAGGTGTTCTCTGCAGCCCTTTTGGGACAAGCTTTCCCTGCCACATGCCCCAGAACTATCTGCAACCAGGTAGTTAATGCCTGCCTAATTCTGGGCTTCATTATTAGGAAGCATTTGTGCTGTGCATACAGACCACATCCTCCACCTCCGCCATGTATGCAATGTTTGGTTGCAGGTGGTATTTTCAGCCTCCCTCTGCCACTTTAATTTCTACTTCTTTTTTTTTTTATACAAAGGATAAATAAGGAACACTTCGAAGACCCCCAAACTTACTTTATATTTCGCTATTATATATTTTACATATTATATATTCTATAATATGTATTCTATTTTACGTATTTTGTTATAATCTTAAATTCTTGAACTAATGCTCCTCTTTATGTGTTGCTGATTCACTGGTGGTGAAAGCTTTCCTTCTACGTTTTGACAATTTCTCACTGTAAGCGCATCCAATCAAAGCTCAGTTTTTCTATAGAAATCTGTGTAGCTGGGAAACTGAAAAATCCCTAAGTCCAGAATGAGGTTGCGTATGTTGCTCTCAGGTGTCTGAGGGAGAGTACTTGCTGGCGGCCAATTTTTATACTAAGCTCACATCTCTAGATTTCCTCCGTGATACTATTAAAAGATTTGAACTCTGTGGGGCACAAGCTGGGCTTTGATTTCTTTCAGACTTTTCCCCCTCCCCCACTGAGAACCACTAGAGTCAAATCCTTGCTGTGCCCCTAGGCAATGTTTACAAGATCCTCTTTCATGGGCACTACAACCTTAAGGTTCTGAATCATGCAAGGGAGGTCTTTAAAGGGTTACCTCTTTACCTCAAGCAGGCCTTATGCCTCTGATTCTATCCCAGCATAAAGGTTAATCCCCACATCCCTGCTATTAAAGTTGGGAACTCATCCTTGCCTTTTTTCCTCTTGGGAACAAGATTCCCAGGCTGGGTGCCGTGGCTCATGGCTCATGCCTATAATCACAGCACTTCACTTTGGGAGGCCAAGGCAGGCAGATCACCTGAAGTCAGGAGTTCAAGACTGGCCTGGCCAATGTGGCGAAGTCCCGTCTCTACTAAAAATACAAAATTAGCTGGCCATGGTGGTGTATGACTGTAATCCCAGCTACTCAGGAGACTGAGGCAGGAGAATCGCTTGAACCCGTGAGGTGGAGGTTACAGTGAGCCAAGATTGCGCCACTGCACTCCAGCTTGTGCAACGAGTGAAACTCCATCTCAAAAAACAAAAAAACAAGATTCCCAAAGGGTGAAGTGTTCTCTGCCTGAATCCATTTTACCTGCAAGGCCATTTTGTCTGGGATGTTTATGTATCTTTTTAAACTGAAATTTTGCTCCAGTTTTTTTTATGCAATCTTGTCAGGTTTTAGTATCAGAGTTATACTCATCTTCTGTAAAATGAGTTTGAAAATATTTCCAATACAGTGATGACCTAAGAAAGTCAGCCTATTATTATATAAGTCAAGAAACACCCCATGGGTGTCAGTCCTGCACCCAGGCCCTGTTCTCAAACAGGAGAGCAGGCCAAAGTTCTCCTCCTGGAGCAAGGAATGGGGAGTAAGTGGAACACCGCATCTTACCACGTTACATATTTCAACCCCACTTATGGGGCTGTGTTCCATATTACCTTTTAGAGGACAAGGATTATTAGGTATTTAAAAGTAAGAAAAAACTTGCCTAATAAAGTTAACTGGACCTGCACATATTTTGGAGAACTTATTTAACTACTTTAACAATTTTTTAAATGGTTATTGCTTATTCAGACTTTCTATTCTTCAATTCTAATTTGCATTTTCTAAGACAGTCATGTGTTCCAATGAGATTTCCCAGTATATCACAATTATCTATATATTTCCCTCTAAAGCTATTTTATATCGTTCTTGGGCTTGCAGCTAGCACTCTTATTTTATGCTGTCTGGTTTTTGT